AGACCCAGCTTATTCTCTTGTCTGTCCTTTTTTCTCCATCCTTCACCGCCCTCCCTCAGGCTCACCGAACCCTAGGCTGTGTTGGCACAGCACAGGAGGGAGACACAGAAACATTAATAATGAGAATCATTGATCAACCGTTTCCTGTACACCCCACACTGGGGATCAAGCCTACAACCTGGGCATGTGCCCTGATCAGTAATCAAACTATGACCTCCTAGTTCATAGGTCAATGCTCACCCACTGAGCCACACCGGGTGGGCAATGCTTTATTGTTTTAATTCGCATAAGCCATTTTAACTGGTTCGAACAGTGAGGGTCTTTGGTATGTCAAATGTTATGATTTTTTTCAGGGCACAAAAACTGAAGTGAGGGAAACTGTTACAGGATTTAGAATTCTTGTACAGTGGAACCTCAAACTTTGAGCATGGGCAGTTGAAAATGTTTGAGTATATGTAAGTGTAAACTGACCGCTATTTTTGTCCTTGAGATCTTAATAGTTTAGCAAACAACCACAGGAGCAAATGTCTGCTGTAGAGATAATGCAATACCAGGGTACTTTAAATGAAGACAAATACATCCACTTGGGAGGTGGGGAAAACTGTAGACTTTTAAAAGGCTATTTACTACTAAAAGGTAGGCTGACACTGAGATTTGCAGACCAAGAGGCAGGAAAAGCATGCCAAGTAAAAGGAACCACCATGAACAAAGCAGAGACAATCTGGGGCAAGCCCTGTGGTTCTCACGCTTTTCTTCCCTAAACCCTCAAAAAAACCAAACCCCAAAAAACCCAAAACCAAAACAAATCCCACATATAATGGGTATTATAATGGTAACACATTTCCAAGAGCTGGATTTGGCTAAATGGTTGCCCTCTTCCCCCAAATTTGCAGGCAAACAAAGCACCCAACAACCTGTTTAAAATTTTTTAACTACCACAGCTCAAAGTCTTTTTTCTTTTTTTAAGAAAGGGTTTATAAGACCAATTTTACAAAAAAAAAAAAGACTTTTTGGGGTATGGAATTTAAACCACCCCAGCATGGGTAGGTAGGAGAGACAATGTGTCTGTCTTCTCCCTGGGGTTTTGCAAACATTTTTATAGATCAGGTAGGAGGAAAAAAGATAGGTAAGCCATTCTGAAAGGATTTACATTAGCTGTAGACAAAGAGAATGGACAATGGTAAGAGGGGCTAATTCCAGGATTGGCAAGAGTCTGAAAGGAAGTGTGGGCTCCTAAGGATTGGAATGTTCACCTGCAAATAAGTGGAGCCTCCTGGAGTTCTCCAGTACCAGGGTGTAATCCTTTTAGATTAGGGGTGTCGAACTCAATCAGAGAAGGGGCCAAAATCTAAAATCCAGCCTAAATCGCGGGCCGAATGGTTTACTGAACAGTCATAAACTGTTATTGTGATGGAAACGCAGCGGAGTGCAGTGATGACAGCGCGGTGCCGGCCACATTGCAAGGCCTGGCGGGACGGATTTGGCCCGCGGGCCTTGTGTTTGACACACGTGTTTTAGATAATCGGAAATAGCCACCCGGAAATTCCAACGAATATACAGGAATGTGAGTCTTTTGTGAGAGCTGTTCCACAGCTGTTTTGTCTCTTTTCTTACTCTGTGGAAGCTGTTATTTAGAACATCTCAGATTTTTTTTTTTTTTTGCAAAATCCTAACTGGCATGCCAGACTCTTGTTGTTACTCTTGGAGTTAGCTTTACATTTCTCTACTGAAGATAAGTGATTACTTTAACAAGTTTGAGTATTTTACTATTAGTAAAAATAGATGGATAAGTGGAAGTTAAAACTCAATAAATTAGCCGAAACCGGTTTGGCTCAATGGATAGAGCCTCAGCTTGGGGACTGAAAAGTCCCGGGGACGATTCCGGTCAAGGGCATGCACCTTGGTTGCGGGCATATCCCCAGTAGGGGGTGTGCAAGAGGCAGCTGATCGATGACTCTCATCAATGTTTCTAACTCTTTATCTCTCTCCCTTCCTCTCTGTACAAAATCAATAAAATGTATTAAAAAAAACGCAAAAAAACCAAAAACTCAATAAATTAAACTGAGAATCTCAAAAGCCAGGCTGTGATGTTTGAACTTAGGCTCATTAGTTTTATTCATATTATTACCATTCTTGAATCTCAATTTGCAGTTCACGTAGTTTGCAAAATGAAGCAAAAATCTCAATATGAAATTTTATGTTGGCTAATCTCTCCCTGGTGAAAGCTGAGTATTACGAACACCATTTATTTTCAACAAAATAATACACATAGGAACTCAAATCATAAACAAAACATTTGATTGACAAATGAAGATCAAGCAGTTAGAACAGTTTAATCACTGGGTAGAGAAATCAACAAGGCACTATGAAAGAAATTAAGTGGGAGAGGATCAGTGTTTGCAAAAGTAACTTTATGATTGTGTGTTAAAGTAAAAAATTTATCCATTGATTAGACATGTCTAAGATGCAGCTCTACATTCTTTCAGAATAATTGCATATAAGTTATTATAATGAACAGAGAATCAATTAGTACAGTTCTATTTGATAGTTTTTGTTATAATCATAAAACTAAAATTTAGGGTTTTTTAAAGGTAGTATTTTGATTAATCCTTCTTTGTATAATTTATGTTATGATTTTGGACTTCAAATAGATTCACTTTAAGTGAGCTTTTCTTTGCTGACAATTATCCTCAGATAAATGAAGACTTCCTGTACTTAATTTGTATAGGAAAGATGGAAAGGCACTGAGAGTTGTTTTGTTTTTTTTTTGGCAGGGGTAGGGGTTAGATGAGTAAAAGTGAACTGGCTGTTTATTATCCTGGGGTAAGTTTAATAGGTTACAGGAAAGAACCTTTTGGAATAGCAGAGGCCTAGGGTGGCAGCAGTCAAAAGAAAAAAATGACTTCTTTGAAGATGAGCTTTTATTACTTTTCTTAAAAGAGTTTCTTCAGAAGGGGTCTGCAAAGCTAATTCTAAGAAGATGATCTTAAAGGACATTGCGATATCAGAAGAAAGGAGTGGTGCACTGTTAAATTTGGACTTACTAAGTTTAAGATTTTGGATAGATTTCCAAGTGGAGAAAACCAGCAAGTGGTTGGAAATATTAACATAGAAGGATCAGTCATGTTATGGATTCATAGGACATCCCCCCCTCCCCCATTATTTAATCTGTAATTGCACAATAACACCCAATCGTTTAGCTACTAATTTTTTTTTGACATGCACGCGAAAAAGCAACTATTTCCATTGTTGTAAAGGTTTTATTGAAGAAACTTAATGAATATAAACACTTTATGGCTAAATAAAGACAAACACTGAGGCTAAAAAATAGTGAAAGTAAACTTTGCTGAATCCATTAAAAATTCTGGAATATCTGTTTGGAATGTCTATTTGATGCTGGTTAAATGTGTAACAAGTTATATTAAATCAGTTGTAATACTCAAGTCACTGAACAAACCTCCACACTAAAGTTTCCTGGGCTATTACTGTATTACTCTTTCCAGAGTGACTATGTTTTGGGTTTCTACCTTCTCCTATACATCTATTAATTCCTATTTTCAAGAGAAAATACCTTAACCAAATTCACCAGTGCTAGCATTTCCTTTGCTGTAACCTATTTATTCTTAGATTAATCCCAACAATATTTGAGTGACTGCTCCATCTGGCATGAGGTTACTATTCTAACATATGTGGAATATTGCTTCTTTTTCCCTTTCGAAACAGAAAGGATTGCATAATCATGGATCTCAAAATTATTTATGAACCACTACCGCTGCCCTCTCCCTTAACAAACACTGCAACATTATAACCTATTTACCTCTGCTTTGAAACTGTATCTTTAAAAGAAAACAGCCTGCAACATTTTTGAGAAAAACAATACATGAAGGGAAGAATTTCCAACTCCAGGCAGAGGACCTAGTAATTATTTTAATGAATACCTCTTACAGAGGCCTGTAGTCGGGTTCATACTTTTCCAATTTAAAACTGCTTCTATGGAGCAGTAAGTTGTAAAGTTTTTAAGGAGACATCTAAAATGCGTGTCTTTAGGCATAGTTGCTTGAAACGGTAAGAGTCAAGGGCTAGGTTTAAAAGACGTTTCTCAGCAGCTGGTCATCTGTTTCGTTCTTCAAAAGAAACAAAAGTGAATAAAATAGAATGTCTCCTTCATATTCTATTTTCTGGTCGCTACCAACCCCCCATTCCGGAAAGAGTACGGAAGATAGAGGATAGGGTGGTGAGGAGGGAGAAGGAAAAGTTAGACTAGGATTCTGCCTTATTATTCCGGCATGGCATGGATACTGAAGAAATCAAGGCTTTCCCAGGCTGCTATGTTTTGCGGGGCTGGTGTAAATAACCTCGACGCTCAAAGGAGAAACCTCTCTCCTTTCCTCTATTTCCCCCAATTTACCTCTCCTCTTACACTCCAAGTCTCACTCCCTAGGGTCGTACAGATGGGGTTCTTGCCCTAGGTCATATAACGCCCCCCCCCCACCCCCCAAAAAAAAGAGAAAAAAAGAAGCGGGGTCACTCTCCTCCACCATGCACATGCTTCAACCACTGCACTCAAATTAATATTTCACTGTGATATTTCCTGATTTCTCTACTCCGAAGAGCCAAAGCTCTTCTACTCCGGTCCGTGGATTCCCCAAGGAGCTCGGCCCTCCTTCCCGCGCCTCCGCGGCCCCCGCCCCTCGCTGCCCGGGGCGCGGACCGGGAGAGGCGCCGGGGGACGCCCGCGTGGCTGCCCGCACGCTCCGGGAGTGTCCCCGCCCTCTCCCCCACAGAGCTAGTGCGTGACGGGCCCGCGCCCGGTTACCTACTCCAAGGTGGGGGGTGAAGGGAAAGGGGCGAAGGAAGAAGCACGAGTCCGAGGCTGCAGTCTCCAGGGAAGCCGGCGCCACCGCGGGAGACGGAGCCGCGCGCCGCAGGTACGAGGATGCGCACGCGCGCCCTCCGGGCTCTCGTGGAACCCCCGCCGGGGACGGAGCCTAGGCGGTTACCTTCCGGGGCGGCGCGCCTCTCTGAGGGAAGCCGGCGGGCACTTCTTAACGTCTCCTAACTCCTCCGGGACGCCTCTGGGGGATCGGACTCGGGGTGTTTGTGTGCGTGTGCAAGCGCGCTCTGAAAGTGCGCCCCACAATCCCCCCCCCTCTGCTCCCTTCCCGGTCACTTCCTCCCCGCTTTATGGACCGGAAGGGTTCTTGAGCCAAACCAGCTCGGCGGGCACTTCCGGGGGCTGGAGAAGGAGGTTCCGGGAGGCGCTGGGAGCGGCGGCAGCGGCGGCGGCTGGAGGATGAAGAAGGAGCAAGTGCTGCACTGTCAGTTCTCCGCGTGGTACTCGCTCTTTCGAAGTGTCACCATCAAGAGGTAACTCAGGATGGGCCTTCCGGGATGATGGCAAAGGAAACTGACATTTGGGGAAAATTCTATCTCCATAAAAAAATAAAAAGCATAAATAAAAAATGTAGGCCTTGTGGGCTGGGAAAGCCAAAGCCGAGTTTTCGACTTCCTAGTGATATTTCAGGTAGGGAGATAAATGAAGTCGATCCATATTTGCTGTGCGTTCTGTTGCGGGTTAGAGAGTGTGCCAGAAGGCTATGTCATGGTTCAGAGAAGGCCAGAGGCTGGTGAGCAGTGGATTAAGCCTGTTTAGGTTTGGGAGTTCACCATCATTGTTTTTAGAATCACCAGAGAGGGAGGAGGTCGAGAGAACTGGGTAGTCCCTGCGATGCCACTGGCTAACCCAATTATATTGTGAAGCTATAATGTGACACTGTAAATGTAAATGTGACACGGTAAATGTAAATGTGACAGCGTTAGTTTAGTTATATATTCTTAAGAATGCTTGTACCGCAAGAGGAAGCTGTCTGGAAAAGTTGTGGAACAATATTTGTTTTCTATTGTAGTTCTCCACCCTACAATCAAGGAATCCATCTCTATTTTGCAGGGCAAGCATAGGATTAACTGTTTCATCCTTCACCCAGATAATTCAAGTATTGTAGGCAAGACAGCTAGGAGAATATAGCCCCAAATGTTCAAAAGCAATCATGCCATCTGGAGCAAGATGCAAGGACAGGTTTTCATTCACTAAGAGTCATGGATCAAAGAATTACATGTCCATGGATAGCATTTTCTGTACTTTGCCCTATCCTCCTTTAGGCCTAGTTTCCAGTTATTTAGATATCAATTGTCACTTGCTTTTCATTCTGTCCTCAGTGCTGAGAGTGTGAATGCAGAGAGGGAAACTGTTTTTGAAATCCTGAGGGATTGAAAGAGCATAAAGAGATTATTCAAGACAATTCTTTTCCATCCTCTTATTCGTACATACAATCAGCTTCCAATTACTCATGGTGTAATGGAGGTTAGCCGGTGCTACCGCATGAGACTGCAGCCTGTGCATTACACCTTGGCTGGCCCTCACAATTTTGCCATTTTGAGGATAATTAGCATCTATCCATTACACCTATCATAGAAGTAATTTTTCTACATGATATGCTAGTCTTTTATAACCTTGCATAATTGAAATAGGCTTTGGGTCTGAGGTAATGATAGCGTTACTTGTTTTGGGTTGCTACAATATGAGGTATGTCTGTGAACTTGTCATACATTTTCACACTGAGTTCACTTAAAACCGACATGTACTTTCTGTGCAGTTCTTTTGCAACCTCTGGTGTACTTTTTCTTTGCCTTCAGCAATAAAATACCTATAATGGTTAAGAATTGGACGCTGGAGCCATCTACCTGGCTTTGAATTTTGGTTCCACCAGCATCTTGAGCAAAGTGTAATCTAAGTCCTATCTGGGAAATTGAGACAAAACAGCCTTATCGTAGGCATTAAATGAAATAAAGCATTTAGAATGCTTGCCACTGTTTCTGGCATATAGTAAACAAATTTGCTGCATGTTGTCACATTTTGGATTTTGGATTTAATCAAAGCTCAATTGAAGCAAAATAATTTTAGTTTACTTAAAATGTGAAACATTCACATGAAGCTGAGAGTGAAAAATAAACCAAGAGGTGGGATTTTCTGAACAGTTAAAAACTAAGCTGTTCTTCCTGAAACCATTCTTTACTCTCTTTAAACTCTTCAGTGTAGTCACTCATGTGGTGATATCACTGAACCTAACATATGGCAGGATACCCCTCCACAACTCAGGCCAGTCGGGTGGAATTGTTAGCTTTGCCATTGCCATTGTCAGCTTTAATGCTGAGAGATATATTAAATCCTGTTTTCTACTCAGCATTATTATTTAGGGTCAGCAGTGAAGCAGTTAAGAATAGAAGTACATTTTTTGACAAGTTCTACAACTTTGATTCAGGCTTATGAACAACTAGCTAGAGGACTTTGGGCCATCCACTTTATTTTTATTCCCTCAAACATGAAAGTTATAGCAATCTTGTAAAGGTCCCTTCTACCTCTACAATTTCATTAGAATAACTTGTCTATATATCTGTAACTATATCAGCCTGGTGGTGTAGGTACTTTGACAGTTAAGTCTTTTACACCTGCCAGTAAAACCTCATTGGATTCTTGCCTGCAAAATAGATTTCAATGACAAATTTAAGCTCTTCTCTGGCAGTCTTATGTGTAAAGCGTGCCTGGCAATGACTTGTTTTATGGCTTCAGTCTTTCAGGCACAATTCCTTTTTCCTCTGCATTTTGGTAGTATTTAGTACATCTTAGCACAGCATTACCATATTGTACTGTGATTTTTGTTTTGTTTGTTTTTTAAAATATATTTTATTGGTTTTTTACAGAGAGGAAGGGAGAGAGATAGAGAGCTAGAAACATCGATGAGAGAGAAACATCTACCAGCTGCCTCTTGCACACCCCTTATTGGAGATGTGCCTGCAACCAACGCACATGCCCTTGACTGGAATCGAACCTGGGACCTTTCATTCTGCAGACCGACGCTCTACCGCTGAGCCAAACCGGTTTTGGCTGTATTGTGATTTTTTTCTTTTATGTCTTTCTCCCTCATAGGCTTTGCATTCTTTTCTTTTTGTTTATTTTTATTGACTTTAGAGAGAGAAGAAGGGAAGGGAGAAAGAGAAACATCAATGTGAGAGAGAAACATGGATTGTTGCCTCCCATATGTGCCCCTACCAGGCATCAAAACCACAACCTGGGTATGTGCCCTGATTGGTAATTGAACCCGTAACCCTTTGATGCATGGAACGAACTCCAACCAAACTAGTCACACTGGCCAGGGCAGGCTTTGCATTCTTAATGGGATCACCTTGGTATCCTCCTTGACTTACATGATATAATGTAAGATAAGTCATAAGGATGAGTTTAGAAATGACCTTAGAACTCAGTAACTCATGAGAACTAGAATCCAATTTGATATCACCAAATAGAGGTAAGAGTTATAGACCCTCCAAATAGGAAGAATAATCAAATAATTCATAATAGAATCAAACATTAGATAATTGTTTTGAATCTAATCAATGGGTGATAAAACTTGGAGGGAAAGCCCAGATTCCAATCAGACTTGAAAATTAGAGTCCTATAAAACAAATGACATGGACTCTGAAATCATTGATTTGGGGATGAGAGGCTTTATTGACATAAAAGAGGACTCAATCTGCTATCACTGTGGTCAGGAAAATCACCCTACATGTCTAGGAGCTGGTATTCTGCCAACATTTCTCAGTCTCAGAACCCTGATAAAATAAACTTCACATTCTCTTAGAAATGTGGTCTCTAATTCTCTTGGGATGACATTTTACTTTATGGGTGTCTTTAACCCTAGGAAGAACTAGAATTACAACAGAGGTGATGAAATAATTCAAACTTAAGAATTTTATCTTTTTTTCTAAGTTTAATATCTTTAAAATTTTGCCATTTTGAGGATAATTAGCATATATCCTATATAATAAAGACCTAATATGCTGATTAGACCAAACAGCGGAAAGACCTTCCGGATGACCTTCTGGATGACGTGGACGAAGCTGGGGCTGTGAGGGCCAGCCAAGGTAGCCAGGCTTGTGAGGGCTGTCCAGGGCTACAAGGGCCGGCCGGGGTGCGAGGGCCAAGCCCCTTGTATGTGTTTCATGCATCGGGCTTCTAGTCTAGAATATATATATATATAAAAGCCTAAGCGACCTTTACAACCGGAAGACCAGCTGGTAGCTTTGATGCGCACTGACCACCAGGGGACAGGTGCTCAATGCAGGAGCTTCTTTCTGGTGGTCAGTACACTCCCACAGCCAACTTTCCGTGGCCCGCCAACCTCCCACAGTCCCTCCTTTTACCCCCATCAGCCCTGATTGCTGGCCAGTCTGAGGGACTTCACCCCTGCTCAATGAATTCGTGCATCAGGCCTCTAAAATAAGTAAATAAGTAAATAAATATACAATATATGGAACAGGTTAGCCTTTTGGTTCCAATTTAAATTGTGTAATTGGTTTACAATGGTGATATGTTAAACTATCTAAGAAAAATAGTTAAATATTTAAAATAGTTATAAATATTTTATAATATTTTATATATTATATATTTATATATTAATATATATTTTATAATATTTTATATATTATTATTTATTTATTTTTTTTTTTAAATATATTTTATTGATTTTTTACAGAGAGGAAGGGAGAGAGATAGAGAGCTAGAAATGTCGATGAGAGAGAAACATCGACCAGTTGCCTCTTGCACACCCCCTACCGGGGATGTGCCTGCAACCAATGTACATGCCCTTGACTGGAATCGAACCTGGGACCTTTCAGTCCGCAGACCGATGCTCTACCACTGAGCCAAACAGGCTTTGGCATATATATTATATATATAAAATATAAAAATAGTTAAATATTTAAAATAATATCTGAATGTTTTCAGGAACATTAGATTCACTATACTTATAGGTTAGTTAATTTGCTGGCTTTTAAGAGTTAAATACCTGGAAGGCTTATTTAAATAGTTGACATATAGGGTGGGCAAAAGGAGGTTTACAGTTATGACTATATAAAACAGTTTATTCTTGTACTAGAGGCTCAGTGCACAAATTCGTGCATCAGCGGGGTCTCTTGGCCTGGTCAGAGGGTGCACAATAGAGGCTGGGGAGGGATGTGGGCGGTTGGCCAACCAGGGAGGGACCGTGGGAGGACTCCAGGGCATATCTGGCCCATCTCGTTCAGT